ATGACAATGGTGGATAGTTGTGTCGCTGTACGAGTAACAGTCGAGGAGCCATCGTCTGTTGTGCTTCCTCCGCCCACTGGGACAACTGAATAGGAGACAGGTGCTCTTCGCTCGATCGCAGGGAAGAGTGGCCAGGCTCCGGACAGGACTAGTAAGGAGGACACGGCAAAGATGTGAAAGGATGTTCTCAACTGCATTCTGTTGAGCAAGCGAGTTTAGTATCACAGTCAAATAGATGTCTGAGGATCTATTCGGCACTTGGAGTAGTTTCTTGATCACAATGTTGATGTATGAGGAACCTGAATATTAGAGAGGAAAAAGAGAACCAGGGAAAAGAATCTTGAACATCTACCTATCCATGTCAGAGCAGAAATACAAGGGCTGGTCATTATCACGAGCATTTCTGCACGCGTGTGCGGCACTCATGTGGTGTGGCTGCCGTTTTCACTGGCACTGCATCTCGTTGAAGAGGTTGGGAGAGTCAGATTCAAAGATAGACGAGAGCAGAGCGCAGCCAGCCGCCAAGACCAAATTGTAAACAGTGGCACCACCTATGATTGGCTGAACCAAAGTGGCTGGCCGCTGCACAACCCCGCCGAGAAGTGGCTGGGGAGACAAAAGTATGTAAAACTTGCAAACAGTGCAAACTCTGGAACGTTCATCGGGGGTTGTTTCGCATTCCACCGACTCTCATCAAACAGTTTCAGGGCGCCACGCAGATCTAGACCTGTCTTCCACGCGGTCTGAGTGCACCGAGCACCCTCCGACTTCTGGAAACAGGCATCGCAGGAAGCGAATGACTTGCATGAGTCCCACAATCAGCTGGCCTTGGCTTTGGGCTTTCGGATCACGATCCTATCACCTTCTCGCGTCCAGCCAACATCTTCTAGCTTCGCCAGTTCCTCCCAGCTCAGTTGACCACCTGTGGCGCTCTGGATGATCCAATTGACGTCACAGGCATAGTAGGCTCGGCCGATGGCTTTGAGGACCATCCTGCGCTGTGTTTCGAGGTGCCAATGAAGGATCGCTCGCACGTAGCCATCAACCTTCTGTCGAACGCGCCAGAATGTGACCCAGTCTCCCGTGGCAACTGATTTTAGTAAATTGTCGACGATCCGACTTTTGAACCCAAAGCGGACACGGCTTTTGTACCTCAAGGCATACGCCTGACCAAGATCATGTTGCCGGATCGCTGTGTCAAGTATCAAGTAGCTCGTCATCTCCACCAACTCGGAGCGTGGCAGAGGGTGCTTGGGCGTGTGGAGGACAGACAAGAGGTGCATCAACGAAGCATGGTAGCCTTCTGGGTGTAGCGCGAGGATGGCGACTCGGATGTTGAATACATGAACTCGTTGAGAGAAGACTGAGTTTGGTGCAGAAGTAGAGCTGGCGAGTAGGCCCTCACGTAGCTTTCGCAAAGCTAAGAGAATGATTGACAGCTCGGCCGCTTGCGATGGCGACGTGACATTGCTTCCTTCACTGTTTGTAGTGACAATAGAGTCTCGTTGCGCAGTTGGGCCAGGTTGCGTGTTTGTCTGCTTCCCGGTGGATTTCTTCGATGGGTCCAAGGCCGGCGACCGGCCCTCGTCGAGAGATAAAGATGCAAAAGCATTGTCAAGATCCTTCGAATGCCGCGTGCAGAATTGCATGTAGCGAGCAACAATCTTGTTATAGTAGCTCTCTTGAGTTTTGAGGTCGAGCAGCCTTGGTCTCGTTATAAACAAGCACCCTGAGCCCTGTCAGAAAGAGGAAGATACCTATTATCACCTTTGGAGACGAACCCCATTGCCTCCAAAGGATCCTGCTTCACTGGGCGCAACCTGTCCCATGGCGCCGAAGATTTTCGTCCGAGGGGTGGAGGGGCTTGAGCCATGTTTGTCTCGCCTATGCGATTCTGCTCGACATTATATCAAGTCTAGTCTCTGTGTAGCATGTGTCGGAACACTGCGCCATCACCTTTTTCGTTAGGCGCTGGACAATGGTGAGAAGCAAAGATGATGCCAGGGGCGCGTTGTGCTGCTCGTACTTCGTAACTCGTAAATGTCTGTGGTTGAGTGATTGATAGGAAGGTCCGGGCCGAGCCTCGCATTGACCTCATCGCCTCCAGGTCCCGATATTTTCCCGCTCCTTCTATAATTACTGTCCCAACATTTAAATTTCTCATGTCGACCGGTTCATCAGAGTCAGAGTCAGAAAGCAGCCATGTCGACAAGGAAATTAGACGACGAAAGACCTGGAGATGAAGGAACAAAAGTGCCCCCTTCTAGTGAAGTAATGAATCCTGACAAACAACCTGCTGAGGCCGAAGATCTTTGGCACAGTCTCATACACTGGCATGATCTACCACACTGGCTGCAAGACAACCACTTTATCCACGGCAGCTACCGGCGGGCATCCTACAGCTACACAAGATCTCTTCAAAGCATTCTGCACTGGCATAACGAGAGCGTAAACATCTGGACGCATTTAGTCCCTGCCACTCTCAGCTTCCCCTTTGCAGCATTTCTCTATAGCGTCCTGGAACCTCGCTATGAGAAAGCATCAGTGGCCGACGTTATAGCAATGAGCTGCTTTTTCGGTGGTGCAGCTATCTGTCTAGGACTGAGCGCATTCTACCACACACTGTCCAACCACTCTCCGCGGGTTGCTAGATTCTGGAATCAGCTGGACTATGCTGGTATATCTGTGCTGATTGCCGGTTCATTCATTCCCAGTGTATATTATGCATTCTGGTGTCATCCTGGGAAGCAATGGACATATTGGATCATGGTGAGCAACAATCCGATAATGCAAGCACACTACTGAGACCTGCTCCAGATTTGCACCCTGGCCGTAGCATGCACCACAACGTCAGTCCTTCCGCGGTTCCGAACACCAGCCTGGAGACCTTATAGGGCTTTGATGTTCGTCGGCATGGGCATCTCCGCAGTATTTCCTGTCCTGGATGGGCTGAGGACATTTGGACTGGAAGATCTGGAGAATCAAATTGGTCTGTCTTGGCTGGTATTGCAAGGAGCTCTGTATATCTTGGGAGCCGGTCTGTATGCGGTAAGTCTGCAGCCATATTTATGGGTGATCATGTGCTGAGTCAAGAATTTCAGGCGAGGGTTCCAGAGGCCATCTACCCAGGCAAGTTTGATACCCTGGGAAGCTCACACCAAATCTTTCATGTCTTGATCGTCTTGGCCGCCTTGTCCCATCTCAAAGGACTCCTCAAAGCCTTTGACTACCGGCATGGGGCCATGTCGTCTGTTTGCATATAGAACCAATCGCAAATGTTCATAACTTGAAGTCGGCATTCACAAACGCGCGTAGATAACCGGTATCCCTCTGACGACTGGCGATCTGCGAGGCCATCGACGTTTTCAACTCGCGCGATCGATCTGAAGTCAAATCGTAAATGGTAGCAAGGTTGATCGTCAAAGTCTGGAAAGAATGTCCGTCATTGACGAGCTTTTCCAGAATCTGCCGGGACCTTCGGACTTCCCCTCGATATAGATACGCGACTGCGAGGTTCTGTTTCACGAGAGCTGCCAGTTCTGAATTAGCACTGGCTTCGTTGTCAGACAGAGTCGCTGTCGCATCGTCATATCGGCCTTCGGCAATGGCGAGAAGAGATCCAAGTACCAGCCTGTCTTGCGAGCCCAGCTTTCCGGAATCAATTAACTTCTGGGCTCCGACAATATCGCCCATCTTGATTCTCAACAGGGTCATCCTGGATGTCCAGAGTACCAGGTGATCATCAGTTCTAGGTTTCATGTCTTGGAGCGTCCTCACAGCGCAATCGATATCTCCCATCTCGATCAAGGCATTCACAACCCGGATCGACACTTCACTCAGCCTTTCTGCCCACAGCTCTCTCTGTTCAGGTGACGTATGCGGAGAGGACAAATGTTCTCTACATTCCAGCGCGACATCGTAGAGCGTAGAAACGCCCCTCCTCGGGTCTGAAAAGCCGATGCTCTGCAGTCTGAGCGCTTGCAAACGTAGAGAAAAGGGCATTATATGGCTCGGCACTTTGTGCGGACCAGCCAGATCATCTTCATCTGCACTTCGCTCGGAGGCCGGCTCATCATAGTAAAATCCGGAACTCAGATCCTCCAACGCCTTGGCCTCCTGTGCAGCAAACAGCAAATTCCCCGACAGTTCGAGACAAGAGTACCGAATCTCCAGCAAGCGGAAAATAGACTTTGCGTCCGTAGGCCGTACCGTGCCGGACACCAGGATAGAGCCTGCCAGCTGGGCAGCACGTAGAAAGTCGCATTGAGAGAGGAGTGAATCCAGGTGTTGCATGGCAGTCTGCAGAGGAGTTTCGGGCTTCAGTGGCGGGAGAAATGGCTTTCGAAAAGGGCCGGGGATCTCCAGCTGGGAGAGAGGATGGTAGATTGAAGCATCGAGGAGGAAGGAGAGATCTCTCTCCTCTACCGCAGCCACGTCTTCAGTTTGAGCCACCTGTTGCTGATCGCTTGGGGCTGGTGGTCGTCGGGTAGCTGTTTCAGCCGCCTCTATAGGTTCACTGACTTCTTGCTTTGGCGACAGCTGTGCTGTAGGATTTCGAGGTGAGGGTACAGGTGTCGTAGATAGAGTCAACGGGTCTGTCGGCGCATCCAGTGGGCCTTTAGTGGTCCGTCGAGGTAGGGCTGTTCTACTTGACGGCTTGCGACTATGGTGTGCGGAAGACATTTTGAAGGGTGTGTTGCTCTTCACTTGTTGTCAGATCATCTGCCCTGAGCTCTTCCACCAAGCCTTAGACAAGGTTTAGATGTAAGGGGGACAGGCTGACAAGGCACAAGGACATCAACGTTGATGGCATGGATGGTGATCCGGATAAACTTCGGGTAAATGCACTGGAAATTCACCACGTCGCGCGCCGCATTGATGATCTGGCGCGTACGAACTCCAACTGCGAAATCCAGCTGGAGATTCTGTCTGTTCCGCAAACCGCACCACGACCACGTCGCAATCCACTCTGACAATACACGCGGCAAAGATTTACAGCCATGGGTTCTAAAGGTGACAAGTATTCAGTCATCCTCCCCACCTACAATGAGCGCCAGAACCTGCCCGTGCTGGTGCAAATGCTGTCCGATGTCTTCACAAAGGAGTAAGTCGTTCAGTCCACCCTCAAACCCTGTTCAACGCGCACGGACCTTGGGAAATAATCTAACCATGTCTCTCTTCTTGTTTCGCCGTTTGCTTGCAGGAAACTGAATTGGGAAGTCATCATCGTCGATGATGCCTCGCCGGACGGCACCCTCGAGCGCGCAAAACAAATCCAAAAATCCTTTGGCGCCGACCACATCATCTTGAAGCCGCGGGCGGGCAAACTGGGTCTGGGGACCGCGTACGTTCACGGGCTGCAATTTGTGTCGGGCAACTACGTGATCATCATGGACGCCGACTTCTCGCACCACCCCAAGTTCATCCCCGAGTTTGTCAGGATCCAAAAGGCTACGAATGCGGATATTGTCACGGGCACGCGGTACCGGTCCAAGAACGGACTGATTGGGGGCGTGTATGGGTGGGACGCGAAGAGGAAGTTGACGAGCCAGGGCGCCAATATCCTCGCGGATTTCCTCCTGAATCCTGGTGTCAGTGACTTGACGGGATCGTTCCGGCTGTACAAGAAGGAGGCGCTGGTCAAGGTGATTGAGAAGACGCAGTCAAAGGGATACACGTTCCAGATGGAGATGATGGTGCGGGCCAAGGCCATGGGCCTCAAGGTCGAAGAATGCCCCATCACCTTTGTGGACCGGTTATATGGCGAGAGTAAATTGGGTGGCGAGGAGATTGTCGAGTATCTCAAGGGATTGCTGTGGCTATGGTGGTCGGTCTAGAGCGGGCCACTCTTGTTGGTTACCGGGTTCGCCGGTTATTTTGAGCAAGAAAACGCATTCTATGGTGTTTTGAGTCAGGTCGGGGTTTACTGGGTGCGGTTGTGGCGGCAGATGGATCAGAGGATTGATTCACCCTTTTCTTCTCTATTCCTCTTCCTCTTGCAGCGGCCAAGCGACAAAAAGAAAAAGAGCGGAAATCCTCCTCGAAACTACACGGTTTCTTTCCGCCCCCAACTCGACTGATCCAACCTGCACAACGGCGCAAATATTGCTCCGGCATAACCACGGGGTCGGCGACTTTTTTGAACGGCGATGATGCTCTTGTCTCCAGCAGGAAGACGAAACGTGCGTTACTCACGAAGGAAGTCTCGCCACTCTCTTGTTCAGATAGACAGACAGCTCTCGGGGTCCGAGTCCACAGCTGAGGTCGCGCAACCTGGTTGTGGGCACATTTCTCCTAGGATAAAGGAAGAGGAGAGAAAAAAAACATCCAATGAGAATAAAGAAGAAACAGTCGTAGATATAATACCCCCGAATATGTATCCGTACGTGTGCCCCGGTACTGCTAGCCTGGCTGTGACCTTAAAGTCATCAATTCACTCCAGTCAAAAGTTCAAATTGAGTCGAAGTGGTCGGCTATTGTCGCTTGTAGGAGCATGCCGATGTACCAAAAGCACCTGGATACCAGACGAGACAAGACCCGTGCGTCTCAGGTCCAGGGACTTGACACTACATGTATCAGGCGTCCCAGGCACGCCAGCTGAATGTTGCCAGTAGATTAAAGCTGCAACAAAAGGACCAAAATGGAGTATTCTCGTAGATGACTATGCATTATACATTTCATTCATACCTACCTGTTCACCGACATCAGCACCCTAAGCTGTCTTCTTTCCATTTTGAATCCACCAGCGGCTATTTCTCGTACATCAGGCAAACTATTCACACCGTTTCAATTGGAATCTCGTGATGGTCATGTATACATACATAGACAGTGCACTGTAGCAAACCAATCAACTACAGCCAAGCTCATATCATCACGTCTGGGAGGGTGTGTCAGCCACTGCAAAGAGTTGTTGGGCAGCGCGAACGTAGTGGTGAAACAGCTATATGCCATCCTATCCCATCCTTCCTCTCTCGACAACATCCCATCATTGGTCTGGAGAGTAGCCGGCATGCCGAGACGTCATATGCAAGGGCATCATGTCCAGGCTTGCCAGGGTGACCTGCAGTCAGCCCTAAATCCTGCCTCTCGCACTTTCTACCTAAAACGCACGTTGGCGCAGCCACACTACCTCCAGCTTCGTGTTTGTCATGCAGCCTCTCCAGAGACGTCATCATTCTTATTGGCGTGGTCTCGCGTGGTTGGATCTTTCGTCTAACATTCTGGTGAGAGGGCTGATACAAGGGCGAGGCTGAACCTCCCTGGACATTTTAAGGCGGCTGGCGGTCATTGGTTGGGCACGTCAGCTAACTAGGTGGTTATGAGACCAACAGAACAAAAGAGCAGTAAAAACGTCGAGTTGGAGTTAGAGAGCATTGCCGCAAGCTGCAATCCTCCATTCAAGTGCCGATGTTGTACTCGTAGATCATGACGAGCTCATTCTGGGCTCAGAACACAGTACCTGTACCATCCAGCTGCCGATCGTGATGACAGGCTGTTAATCTCCCTTGTAGGTAGTAAGCTCGATACGAACAGGTCAATCTGCCCTAGTCGATCGCACGATGCCGGATTTATTTCTCCTTTGTTGATAGTTAATAGTTGCTGCTGCATCTCGACCATGTTACTCTCAATTGCAGGCGCACTACAACTGGCGCAGCATTCGATATCGGCCCCATACACAAATAGGGTAAATGGTTTGCGAATTTTGACGAGCCCGGAAGCAGAGCCCAGAGGAATTCCTAACCTGGATATTCACTATGACTCGCCGAGCCGGAAACTAAAACCCATTCTTTGTGAGTAAGCTCCCGCAACGTTCTTTTGTTATGTTCTGCATTGGCGACTTGGAGGGCACCGAAAGGAAGGGTTGTAGAAGCAGATGGGTGGAAATGCGCGTGATCGGAAGACAGTGTCGATGAGTAAAGGCTGGTAAGAGTATCTGCTGGCCCCAAGGAAAGCCGTAGTCTGCTCTGGGTAGGTGCTGGTCTTTGCCCACATGGTTAAGAGCGTCGTAGAAAGCTCCCAGCACCTTGACTGGATGTCGGCGACCAAGAGTAATCACCTCGTAGTCTGTTTCCCATCCCAATTAGGGCTGATTAGTCACTTAGCATGTAAATAGAGCGGAAGCAAGGAGGAGCCACGCTTCTGTTTGATCCCCTAGGGCTGAAAGTCACGCCCGTCGATAGTGGGAGACCCGGCAGCTAACTGTAGGCCCGATGACAGGGTGTGGCTCGGTTGAGGACAGCGGGAGACGGTCGTGAGTGGACTGCACCACCAAAATGCTCCCCCTAATGATACGGTGGCTCCAACTAGACGGCATGGCAACCCAGGGGGGGCCGGAAGGGAAGATTGACTCGACGTGTTGGCCCAAGCCAGAATAGTCTGTGCGCGCGGAGCCAGCCTCAAGCGACTGGCACTCGGGGTCGTGGATTGCTTTGCATATCTTGGCCAACCATGTGTTTGCGAAACCACCTGAACCTGGCCGCTCCCAGTGGTGACTCCAGTTCCTGCTTATTATACCTCACCGCCCGCTCTTGTGCTACCTGATCAAGGTTTTGACTGAACCGACCGACTAGGAGGCGGAGCAATACCACCACCTTCCCGAATCCTAATGCTGGGGGATGCAGTCTTGATGGGGGCACGGGGGGCTACTGGCTGGCAAGTCGGAGAGGAATAGCTCAGAAGTACCGAACTCGACTCGGTTGCGCAGGGTTGAACCACTCGACCCGCAGTCCAACATTGAGAAGGTGTGTCAAGGCGGTATGCTACCCATTCGCCGTCTTGAGTGACTGCTCGTGGGTCATCACGATCCGGTTGTCTTCTGCCGCAACTCTTTAGCCGGTCAAGTTAGCGCCCTATATTATCTAAGGGGCCTTGGATCGGATTCTTATCCTTCTTGTATTCTGGACACAACGACTTCAGCAAAGTTCAGCTGGATTTCCAAATGTCCATATTCGTGCGTCCAAGATGGTACCACGAGCCATTGTGGTCGCTGACAGGCGTCCATCGCCGAGTGGTGAGCAGCGAGCACAGCCAATCGTCAAACCGTGCAAAACGCCCGGGGCTGTCGAGATTCAGAAGCCGGCACAATCTACACTTGTAGTGCTCGGAGATAGGAGGGCAGAACGGGCACGAGAAAGGAGTAAAGAAAGTGAAAGGCGAAGTGAAAGGTCACCTACAAGATTGAAACGAAGCCATCACAAAGTGCGCACCGGCTGCCTGACTTGCAGGTATGGCTTTCCACAAACTTCGCCTCCTTCCTCCTCTTCTCACCACCCACTCTCCAGTCTTCTCCCACTGCCCATACCCTCTCGCACCGTGTCCTTTTTTACTTCTCTTCTGTCCCTTCCCGAAACCTCGCTGACTCTGAGCAAGACACCGGAGGGTCAAATGTACGTCAATCCCCGCTTCCACAGTTCCAAGGATCCGATCCAGCGAAGGAGTATAGCAGCATTGCCATGACTGCTATTCTTGTCGTGTAACCCCGCCTTTTCAATGGGATCTTCTCCCGCGCACTTAAACTAACTTGAGTGTTCAATGTGCTAGGCGACGAAACACATCCACGATGCCTACGATGTGCCAAAGCCGGACGAGTATGCGAAGGCTATACCCAACCAAAAGCAAGTTTGTTAGAGCCATCATCCCGTGGACAACCACTGGTCAGAGGGGTCCTTCCTTGGTTTACCAGCGGCAATCCGATTCACTTCTATGATGAGCCTGATCTCATTCGCCCTACCCAGTTCTTCGTGGAATTCACGGCGCCTCGAATTTCCTCCTACTTTACCGAAATGATGGACTCTTTCGTCGACGATAAAGCCTTGGTTCAGTACTCGTCCAACTCGGCCCGAAACTTTTGGAATCGATTGGTTATCCAAGCAAGTCAGACCCATGCATGTGTCCGGCATAGTGTTGCTGCATTGAGTAGCCTTCATGAGTGGATCGAGCTCACAAAGCGAACTCCCTGGCAGAACCACACCTTTACCCTCTACTACACCAAAGCCATCACTGAGATCAATCAGAGCCAAAGCGTCCTGCCCCTCGAGATTATCTTGATCTCGTGCATCCTATTCGCTCACTGTGATTTCCTCATGGGTGCGTCCGCCGCGGGTTTGACACATTTGAAATCGGGACATCGCATCATTTCCGAGAACAGAAGAAGACAAGCCTCAATTGCACCAGAGATTGCCGAGTTTATCGAACCCATAATACGTGGCTTCATGGCGAAGTCGGAAAACTACGCGTTGCGAGAAGAGGCGGGACCCAAGGCCGATCCGGCCAACCCAACAGGAGTTGCAACCTATGCGGTGCCAGATATGCCAGAGGTCTTTGAAGACCTAGCGCAAGCAAACAAGCACTTACAACAGGCGGTCTATATGGTCCTTCTTCTTGAACTCGGTAAACCATATCATTCGGCGCCAATGGTCCCAGGTGTCCGCAAATACGTTGCCGACTGGGCGAGCGCGTTCGGTCGCTGGAAAGCCACCCTCGAACTTGACGAACCGCTCCTGACAGACTGGCAACTACTGTTGCTTGCTCACCATCGGATGGCCCTACTGATTCTGAAAACTCTCCCTCCAGACAATGACAGCAACTACAACCGCGCCGCGGCAGACTTTCGAATCATGTTTGCCCAATTACGAACCTTCTTACGCAGTGGATATACCACGATGGAAAAAGGGCAGGACAGCAACCTGGTGCTGAAGGTGCATCTAGGCTTTATCGCGCCGTTGTACTTTATTGCTACGCTGTGCCGAGTTCGCGACATTCGCCGAAACGCACTCGAGGCCTTGCGAGACTTGAAAGTTGTCGAGGGCCATTGGAACAGTTGCGTGGCTTACGCCGT